TTGCTTGTAGGAATGTGGTCTTATAAAACTGGCAGGATGCACCACCGGACTGAAAGCGGCTGTTGCAGGTGCCAATCAGGATGAGGCATTTGCCTTCAGGAAGAGTCCCAAAACTAGGCTCTGTCTCCAGGCCCAGGGTTCTGGTCCATCTCTCTAGCTGGTTCAGCTCTGAATCCACAAAGGGCTAAAAGGCTGATGGTAGGTGCTTCAGGGAGGGTAAATGGAGGCGGAGGCACGCCTGATTAGGGTGCAGGTTCATGGTGTGTGGGAAGAGGTGACCAGCAGTGGGTGCTCATGCCTGTGTGTGGCTGTGAGTGGGACCATGCCTGGGCTGGGACTCCAGGCATGCACCCCACTCAAAAACTTTTCAATGAAACGATTCCCTCCAGAAAGTCTTCAAATCTCAGACAAAGCCACCCTGTCTCCTCAGGCGCGTTAGGTTAGGCTGGCTCTGAGCAACTGGGTTCCCTTGCCAGTTAGTGTGTAAGCTATAGACAGTTGTCCCTGAATACAGAATGTCACTCTCTTCTCTTCTCACCCTCTGTCACCCCCAAGTATATATATTTACACGCCCAGAAACCAGAGCCACGAATCAGTGAGCCAGAGTGGTAGCTTTTAAAATTCAGGAAGCGACTTAGGGCTTCATTAAAGCAGTATCTTTGCTGTGTGCCTGGCCCAATGTCCACTCATCAGAAATAAATCTTCAGCCCTACTGCCCAGGAAGTCCCACCAAGTGACTGACCAGGGAGTATTTCCCTCACTTTGCTTCTGCCTCAGAATAAATTCTCTCCTTTCTCCCTCACTTCCTCCCCACTCTCAAACCTGCCCCAACTCTCCTGGAATACCTCACTCTCATCAGCAGGATTTCCACCCCAAAGCTCATCAAGACAGCAAGAAATGCCCAGCTGGCAGCATTTGCCGCTGACTATTACATTGAAAAACGGTTGTATTTTTATTAAGCTCTTTGGATTTTCTTTTGAAAGCCTGAATCTCTTTGGCAGCCAAATTTCCTTCCATCAAGACATCCTCCCTTAAAGGTAGAATTGGGGTGATGGAGAGAGGTGTGATCAGATTTCACAACCCCTCACCAAGGAGCCACTTTAGACCCGAGAAAAGCCAGTGCCCGCGTCAGCAGAAAAGGAACGGCGAGTGAGGCCGCCAGACCGATGGGAAACAGGCGGAGAGAGGGTCCCCGAAGCGCAGGGCCCAGGTGGTCCGGGGGAGGGAGGAGGGACAGGAGAGCTTGCCCTGGGTCTCAGAGGGTGCTGTTGCGGGCTCCAGGTTCTAAGGGAAAAGGACTTTCCTGTGGGAGGTGAGCCTAGGGAGGGGAAAGGAGAAGGAGGGGCAGGAGAATGGGGACGGTGAGAAGCCGGAGAGGGGAACTTGAAGGAAGTCGAAAGTGGCCCCTCTGGCCTAGTGGACGGCGTGTTGGGGTACAGTGAATGCCCGGGCTAAGGAGACAACTGTCGCTGCCTTGTTGACTGATTGCCCCTCCCTGGGTCCCCGCCTTAGTCCCCACAGGGGAGCAGCGCGAGACTGAAGGAGGCGGTGTTGGGACCCTCCGGGGGTCGGCAATGCCAGCGACACTTATCTTCCTAGCAGCAGGGGCCTTCCTAGGACAGGCCAGGGAGCCCCCTTCCCCACCCCGACCCCGTTCGTCAGGGCCACAGGTTGGGTGCAAGCTGTCAAGAGAAGGCCTTTCTGCATCCTCGAAACGTGCCTAGAAAGTGGCTCTGCCACTTGGTGGCAGAAGGCAGGAGGGACATGGCAGGAGGGCCTGCATTCGTGACAACGAGGGGTGGAGGGGGGAGGACTTCGGGTCTCCCCAGAGGGCAGACAGACCTGGCCAGCCTGGCAAATCCTAAGTCTCTATCCTGGATTCTAGGCCTAAACTCACCCGCAGGGTGGTCGGCGGGGGCACACACGGGTTGGGGAAGAGGCTGGGATGCCCCTGGGTGGAGGCTGGTTTGGGGTTCAGGCAGCTGGAGGCAGGCCACAAATCCAGCAGAGAGGGCAGGAGGGCCCGCCGCGCAGAGCTGCTGCCCAGCTCCTAGCGTGGCCCCCCAGCCTAGGCATCACACTCAACTGCTCTTTGCACCCCATGTCCACGCAGCTTAGTCCTCACCTCACCTCCACCTCTGTCCACACCCCAAGTGCCTTGGCCTCCCCGCCAGGAAATGGCGTCCCCCAAACACTTTACCCCATGAAAAGAGCAACTCCTGCCTACTCAACGGGTTGGAACACAAGAAACCTCTTGACTTTCTGGCCCAGCCACAGATAAATTTTGTTTTATTTCTCCCCAAAGATTTATTTTAAAGTCAGTCTCCATATTCTTGTTGTATAAATATTGTGAAGGGAAAGCTCTACCTGTCAAAACAGATGGACTCCGGCTTTTCTACCCCAATGTTTATGGAGTTTCATTTTACTCTTGCCGAAATTTATTCATGACAGAGTCTCTCTCCGCGAGTTATTTTGATCTCCTCACCAGCAGGGGTAGGGATGGTACCAGAGAGAGGCGGCTTTGCAGGGAGGCTGGAGTTTGCTTGGCCCTACGAGTAGCGGAACCGGATCATTTTCCTTCAGACATTTTATCTCCAGCGCGACCTCTGATTCCTGCTTTCTTATCTCACTCTCCTAGAAGGTAGATTTTCCCTAGAAGTCTTCTTAAAAAGAATTGAGACCCCTAGAGAATCCCCCCGAACCTCTAGTATGTGTGCCCAAGGATACCCCATCTCCAAATATTCTTATGTCTACTTGGAGGAGGGCCGGGGGTAGTAGCCAAGTCACCCAGCGCCCTGCACCTCCTAACTTTTACGGGACAGCTATGGCTCAGGAGAGATGAAGGTAGAATGGGGGCGTCTTGGAGGCATCAGGTAGACAAAAACAGGAGAAATTAGTGGGAAGGGAGAGGGAAAGCCCCGGAGGGCAGAGACCCTCGCTCCCGGGCCCTGCCGTTGGCTGCCACTGGCCAGATCCCGACAAGCTCCCCCTGGGTCCCCAGTGCTCCCAGAAGTGGAAGGAAAATACCACACATGGGTTTACACCTATGGTAGTGACCCAGTCCACATTTCTGATGACAAGTACAGTGTTAATTCCAACCCTGCCAGAAGACAGAGCACTGTGCAGGCGCCAGGGGCCGGTCACATTTCAGGCCGCCTTTCCCCACCCCCAAGCTCTGTCAGTTTCACACACCCCTGATGTGCTGTTTGCCTGTTTGCAAAAGGGGGTGAAATTCATTCCCTCGCTCGTTCTCCTTCCCTCCCTCCCTTTCCCTCTTCGCAACCCGGAAGAGCTCCGCTCTCTACAGTGAGCAGGGAAGGCGGAGGGGAGGGGGCTCCCGGGAAGGACGCACGTCGCCCAGGTTTACCTCTCGCTGGAAGCCCGCCTGAGATGCGGTGAGCAGTTCCAGCGGCCAGGACGGCAGCGGCAGCCACAGTGGCGAACTCTGCCTGTCATTTCTGCCTTCAGATCTCCGGCGAGTCAGGAAAAAATAAAAAACAGCTGGCCCTCGGGAGCGAGCTGCCCAGGTCAGTGATTATCACTCTCTTCCCTCTCTAACTCCGCACGCCCTCTCCCCGCTCCACGTGGAGAGAATTAGGAGGAGGGCTCCTCTCCAAAGGGCGGACTGCCTCTGAAAGAAGCTGAACTAGAACCCACTTCTTATTGTTCTTTCTTTGGTCGCTGGAAGTCTCTGGGTTTCTGTGGTGACCTTGGGCGAGTATGGTGTGTGAGTGTGGAGATGTCCTCCTTCGCAGGAGAGAGCTGGTAGATGTAGGGATGTGAAGAAAAACCCAACGGAAAAATGAGAGCCGATGGGAATGCTTGGAAAGAGCCGGACACAAATTTCCCACTGCAAGGAGGGTAGAGGATTGGGGAAAACGGCCCCCGAGCCCAGGAGCCTTCTCCTAAAGGTGGCTGCAGTCTCAATTTCATGTTTCTTTTCCTCTGTTTAGAAGTCTGTGTTGAGGCTCATTGTCTCTGCATATAATTAAAGAAACAGCTGTGCGCTGTAAGATAAAGTTGGAACCCAGATGTGTCTGCATCTGGCACACCCGAAGGAAGCTAGGGGTGGGGAGGCTTCTTTGCTTCCAGGAGCACCCTGAGGTGGGTGAGAAAACCGCAGTCTCCCCACGGGGCGCCCAGGGGCATCCAAAGCAGAAGGGGCAGAGAAGACAAGCTTTGGACTTAACTCCTGAGCCATCAGATCAACAGAGCTCCAAAAGGTCACTCAGCGGCAGTTCCCCCTTGAAGACAGTGTTAAAACCTCAGGGAAGTGGACTGAATCTGGGCAGGACAGTTGCTATCACACACGCCTTTTCTTTCTCCCAGATACCAACAGGGCGCCTGAAGAAACTGACACGGATGATTTTGGCAAGGGCAGGGGTGGAAGTGAGTCCAACGGTGCGGCATCTCCCTGGGTTTGGTTCCCATATTTCTTGGTCTTTCTCGCCTCCCCATTGTCCATGCTCACCAGGACATGGGGTCGCAGATGGGAGATTAACAATTTAAAAGGGTTACATGGTGAAGTCGCATTTCCTGAAGCCTCCTCTGCTTAGCGGCTGCTGCAGAGAAGGTAGTGGCCGTAGCAGTGGGTGGGCTGGGGGTCTAGCCAGGCTGGTTGAGTCCGTCCAGGTGTCTGTACATGAGATGCTTGGGGGCCCAAATGGCTGGTAATGTGTGTGTGTGTGGGGGGGGGGGGGCTGGGGCTTACCGTGACACGTTTGTGCCATTCAGAAGAACGGAATTATTTTCTATCCGTTTGAATCTAGTCAAGGCATGGTGTCAGTTCAGACCAAGACCCCACTGAGTGTCAGTTCGCTAGGTGGGAGGTCTGATTATGGAGTCTCTCGGTGGCATCAAGCAGGAGACCCTGCTTCCAGCTTCTAGCCAGCTGCCCTGAAAAGCCCAAGGTCCCTGGCCCAGGAAGCTGCAAGGCTTGGAGGATGCAGAGTGGCTGCAGTGCATGGGCCCGTCCTCCACTCTGCACAAGAGGTGTCTGCCAGCCCCAGCACTGGAGCTGTTCTGTCCCCACCAAAAGCAAGGAGACCTGGGAAGCTATATTTTTCTTTATTTGACATTTACACCCCGCCTTCTTGTGGAAGATAAAGGTGGGGACAGTCAGTGGTGCAGAGAAGGGATAGAAGTGGGCATCCCTGAGCATTCTTTGGTAGGGGTTTTCTATTGGGGGTGTCCAGCTGCCCTGGACCACACAGAGTGCCTGGGGAACTGGTAGGTGTGTGGGAGCCAGGTGGCTGAGAACCCCTCTTCTGGCGGTTAAAGCAGTTTGTGTTCTGGAACCATGGGAGGTGGCAGGAAATTAGGGATCCGGTAAGGTGTGTGGAGCAGAAGCCACTTCTGTCCTCTAGCACTGGGTTATTTTTAACTATTTCTAGGCTGCACCGAAGTGATGTCACATTCTTGGTGCCTGAGCCATATTGCACAGAAATGTGCATTCTTATCCTGGTATGTCTTTGTGTGCAGACCAAATCTTTCCCATCATCTCTTTTTTTCTCTTAATGGTAGGAATAGTCAGAGAGGCTTTGCAGCCTCGGAGGGAACAAACTGAGGAATCCAGCTTTTGCTTTGGCCGCTGGCTGACTGGAGCTGGGGGTGCAGAGGTGGGTGCAGCACCAAGCAAGCAGCAGTTGCTCAAAGCTTCCTTGCTGAGGTCCACCGGGTGTCCGTGGCTGCGGGTCTGCTGGCGTTAGTGAAGAACAGGCATAGGCGTCTGGTGGCTGTTCTGTTTTATAAAACAAATTGCTTGGGGTCCACGAGATGGAAAGTGGCCTAGAACTGAGCTGCCCGCAGGGAGAGCCTGCGGGAAGGGGGCAGCCGGGCACCACCAAGGGCGCCCGGGACCAAGGGAGGCCGGGAGAAGCCTGCGCACGCCAAACCTCCTCCTTTGCACTTCTGAGCCAGGCACAGTCACGGATTTTACCAGGGGGCTCCAACGGGTCCAAAGGAAGACACAAACGATTTGTGCTTTTAAAAGCCCGCCTCTACTGTCTCCTGAATCTGAACGGAGTCCCTCTCCCCCTCTTTTCCTACCCCTGCTGTGAACACTCCCCCTGCCCCATTGTCCCGCTACAATCACACTCCAATTCCTAGGCTAATCTAGAGGAGTCAAAACACAATAGTCCCCAGATAAAACCCGCCTTCTCCTCCCAAAACGCCGGACTGAAGCAGACCGAGGAGACTCGGCTGAGGCCAGGGTTGGGGGCTGTGAGGCTGTGAGGCAGCGGGTGACCGCACCAGGCTGGGGGAGTGAAGCAGGTGACTTAGACTGGCCGGCCTGAGCCCCACGTGCACCCCACCTCACCTGGCAATACTAAGGCCTGGTGGGCCAAGCCTTGAAATGGGGGAATTTCTGCCCAGCTGGATCCTTTCCTTGGTGCAGGATCCGGAGTCCTGGGTGCTGTAGCGGCGTGGCTGAGGGGCCCCCGGAGAGGGAGGAAAGGCCGGGTCTAGAAGTAGCAAGCCCCTGGCTAAGAGTCACTGATGCCGCTGGGTAAGGGGTCCAAAGCTGGGGAGATGCAGGGCTGCCGGCTCGGCTGCCTCCATCCCTTCTTTTTCTCTGGTGGCACTCTCCTCTCCCCCAACCTGCCAAGGCCAGGAGGAAGGGAGAGAGCCGAAAAGAGCACCTTTCCTCCAGGAGACTCCAATTCCTTTCCACTTACCCTCAAGAGGAGTTCTTTCTCTCCTACCCAACCCAGGGCTCCCCGCAACTGACGCCCCCTCACGTGCACATTGTTAAACCCGAAAGCAGAAATCCCCTGTCTTCTCCCTGCCCGTCTCCCTCTTTCCGTTGCACCCCTACCTACCCAATTTTTATCTTGCGGCAATCAGGGGTTTTCTCAACTGGGAAAAGGCGGCGGTAGTGGCTGTGGGAGGAGGGTCAGGCTCCCTCGACGTAAGGCCGAGGCCGGGCTAAGGGCGGGTGCGAGGGGCGGTGATCTAGCGCTTCTCCTCTTTTTGACTCTCCCCACGGCTCGCGGCTCCTCTTGGCCTGGGCTGGTTTCCTTCCGAGTTTTAAACGATGTTAGATGAATAAGCGAAACGAACAAATAAAACAACAACAACAACAACAAAAAGCAAAGAAATAAAGAGAAAAAGACAAAAGGGTAAATCAAACTACATGCCACCCCCAAAGCAATGGCTCATTTAGCCGGGAAGGTAGACCCCAGGCCCGGGACGCGTGGGCGTGGGAACGTCGAGGAGAGCTGCCATTTGGACGCGCCCGCCTCCATCATGTTCCCGTTGCCAGTGAGTTTTAGGGTCCCTCTTTCTCTGTTTACCCCGAAGTTCCCAGCTCACTGGGTTTTGTTTGAAAAGACGTAGCCTTGCCGGGCCGTCATCCTCAACCAGCACTGCCCACGGCCCGGCTGCCTTCTCCCGTTTAGATCTTGCTCCCTGCTCGCAAGGGAAAGAAAACGGGGGCCTGGGTGGGAGATGCACAGATAATATGTATTTAACCTGCGCGGTCCGTGGCGCCATGCCGCAGCGGCCTCCCAGCCGTGTGCCCCGCGTGCCGGGGCCCGCGGTGGCGCCTGGAGCCGTGTCCCCAGCGTAACCCTCTCGCCCGGCATCTGGCGAGCTGTTTATACAGCTTTACCTGTGCTATTCTCCTATCCAGTAAAAACCCTCGCTCGGCCAGGGTAACCTAATCCAGGGGCCGAGGCGGAGGAGGGGGCAGTGAGGCTGGCTGGGCTGGAGAGAGAGTGTGCGCGCGCCACTACCCGGGGTCTCTCCTTTGCTCCTCCTCCCACCGTAGGGAAGGAAATTTGGATGTTTCGGGTGACAGAAATGGGGACTCGGGGCTAAGGAGGAAGGAGGCCAGTTTTCACCGCCCCGTCCTCCGGCTTCTTGTTTGAACAGGCGCTGGGGACCTGCGCGGCAGCCACAGCTGGACACGCGCCGCGAAAGGCGCGGCGGTCCCGGGGGCGCCCGGCGTGGGCTAGCTAGGCTGGGGACAGGTTTCCCGCCCTGGCCTGGCTCAGGTCGCCCTAGCCCGGCTTTCATCTCGCCCCAGTCGCCGTTTCCAATTCACACACCGAAGGCAAACCGAGCAAGGCAAGGAGCTGGCGCCTCCCCAACGGACCCTCCCTTGCAGGCAGCCTGGGCCACTCTTCCAGAGCGCCCCGGTGCGGACTGCGGCGGGCGCACGGAATCGAATTAAACGCCTCTGGGCGGTTATTGTCTTTCGCTAATTGCTCGAACAATGGCCTCTGTTAAAATGGAGACACCCAATGAAAGGCCCCGCCGGGCCGCGCTAGGCTCCCTGCGACGCTCTGGCCCCAGGCCTGCTGCTTGCAGACCGCGAACTCGCGGACCCAGCTGGTGCCAGGAGCTGGCGCCGGCCTCGACACCTTTGGCCTCCACTTCCTCCCCAGACTCACAGCGACAGCGGCCGCTTCACACCGATTTTATTGACCGATCGCATCCCAGCAAGATTGATCGAGCTGGAATGGGAAGGGACTTCTCCTCCCCCAGTCCCCGCTCGCGGGGGCCTGGGGCCCGGCTCCAGTTTCTGGCCTTTGGTGTCGCTCCCCGCCCCCCAGCCCCGCAGATTCCCGGCTCCTCTTCTGTCTTTAACTGCGCGGCCGGGTCCGCCCAGGCCGGCGCCGGGGCTCCGGCGGGAGGGACTCGGCGGCGCTGCTTGCTCTGCTTCTCTCTCCCGCCTGCAAATATTTGCTGCCTCGCTGGAAATCCGACTATTTCGCGCGATCTCTTCTTGCAAAGTCTTTAAGTAAACACGCTCAAATGACCGCCCCCGGCGGCCCGAGGCAAGCTCTCTCCCCAAGCGCGGGATTAGTAACTTTAGGACTTCAACCCAGGGGCTCGGCTTTGCTGCTTAGCCTGGGCAGGCAGCGCGCGGGCACCCGGGGCCGCTTCTCCAGGCACCTCGGCCCCGCGGAGCTCGCCTGGACCCGCCGATCGCCTGGCTCGGGTGGGTGGCGCCGGCCGCGAGCATCTCCGCGCCCTGAGTCTGTAACCCTAGGGCTGGGCCCGGGAAAGCTGCGCCGCCTCTCTGCGCCACGGCCTCCGCTTTCAGTACCAGAGTTGGTTTCTCCACTTCCACCGGGACAGGATCTCTTTGCCCCGGGAGGACGGGTGGGAGGGACTTGCTCTTGGGCATGTGTTTGGGGGTGTGTGCGGGTCCCAGCTTAGCCCCTACCAAGGGAAGAAAGTCCGACTCCATTTCTCACCTTTCCCCCCAGAGGACACATCAACTTGACGCCTAAAGCAGCCCCACTCAACTTGACGCCTAAAGCAGCCGCTTCCAGGCCTGGGGGTTCAGATAGGCCAAGCCGGCTGCCGCCGCCCCGCACTCCGCCCCCGACCCAGGCTCCTCTCCAGGCGGTGGGCGCGCCGTCGCCTGCTCGGCTCTGGGATGCTCGCTCCCAGGGTCCCAGGCGTCCAGGTTGATCACCAGCCCCTTACCCTGGTGAGGGAGGCCTTGTGCCCTACAGGAACCCCGGGCCCTGCAGCGGCTGCGGCGGCGGCGGCATCCTCCTGAGTCGCCTCCTCGCTTTCCTGCACCCCAGCTCCGCCGGCTGCTCCTTGGGAGGAAGGCGACCCGCTAGACCAGGCCGAGGCCCAGCTACCTGGGGAGGGGTCGCGTCAGGACTGAGGGAAGGCTCTCGGGCGTCTCCGCAGGAGGCCAGGATCAGCTTTGCAGCGGTGGCAGAGGGAGAAGAATCAGGACCACCTTCCTCCCGTTCCCCCGGCCACGAGCCCCCTTCCCCTCCCCCGCCCGCCAAAGAAGGAGGAAGCCGGCCTGCTCTTGCCGGCGAGGCGGGTCAGGCCGGCGCCTGGCCTGGCTCGGACCCCCCGCGGCCCGGCTCTCCGCCTCAGGCCACGCGCCGCAGCCTCTCCGGCCTCGCTCCCTTCCCCCTTCCTTCCCCGTGGGTCCCGGGGCCGACCTCGGCCCTCCCTCCTCGGTATCCCCCTCCCCTCCATTTCCCTCCCTCCCTGCCCTGTGCTCTGGGCTCCGGGGCTGGGCTCGTGACGTCAAACCCAGTGTGGCGTCGGCGAGACTGGCCGGCGCGGGCCATCAAAAGAGCAACGTCCTCTCTCCCAATTACCCACTGTCAGTCCTGGAACAGGGGCGGACCGGCTGGGAATTAAATGTTAAATACCCCCTGCCGGCTGGCTCCAATACTCGGGGCATCTAGCCCCAGGCCCCCCACCCCTCTCTGCCAGCCTCAAACCACCCAGTCCAAGAGGGGCCTTGGAGATCTTTTATTTTTCTAAAGGTGGAGGTTGCCCTTCTCCATCCCCACCGACTAGTCCGACTCGGTGCTGGCGATGGAATTGAAACGAATAACCTCCACTTCCCCATCCAAAATCAACGGAGAGGCGCCTCTGCACCGGAAGGCCTCTTCACCAGCCTTTTCTTTTTGTCTTTAAAATCATTCTTAGCCTCAGAAGTTAGCATTTTCAAGACCTGGCATCCGCAGCGTTTCTGTAGCGGGGCTGCTCTCTTCGCCTCTTTCTCGGGCTCCGAGGTTTAGGCGCTCGGGACCCAGGGCTGCGCTTAGTCTAATGCGTGGCTGTGAGCCGGGCTCACCCTGCGTGGCGCATCCATCGCCCGACTGACGCGCGGGGAAGCATTTTTCATATTTTCTTTCGGCTTCAGTGCTTAATCTTAATCCGGGGCTTCTTAGCAAAAATGTGTGTGCGTTCGTTTCTCCTTGTTTATGGAGAGGTTTCCGGAGAATATTAGACAGCAACTAAATAATTAAAAGGTTTAGAGAGCGCTGTGAGCAGAAGATGCGGGCAGCTTGGCTGGCCCAGGAGAGGCGAGCGGTGAGAGAGCGAAAGGAAAATCGATGCCTCTTAACTGGGCCTCCTAATAAGGGGAGGCCAAGTGGGATCAGGAGAAACGTGGGTGGAGAGCTTTCTTTTAAAAAATTGGGGTTCTTTTTGTCCTATATATAAAAATTCAGCTCTGATTTCAAAGCAACATCAGATTTAAGAAGGTGATTCCAAAGAAGATCCAAACGCAAGACCGGGAAGACCCACGTTTCCACTACTGCTTCCAATACGTTTTATTGATATTTCTACAGGGATAGTGTTTTAAAACACGACAACCCCCACACACCAAGCTGAAGCTGCATATTGATGTTTTTCCTTCACCGCATGAAAGGAATCCTTCAGAACTTACTTTCAGGGACGTCTTCTTCTATCTGGAATTTTTGCATTTGTAGGGAATTTTATGGGGTAGAAGCGCGAAGAGGGAACTATGTCTCCAATTCAAATAAAACCCCCAATTAAGCTCTCTGCCCGGTCCCTGGGACAGCCGGCGGGAGCACCCACGCCCTCTCCTTGCAGCATTGCCCTGGGGCGAAGAGAGAGTGGATTTGGGGTCTTCTTTTCCAGCGTGACCCCTGCTCGCCGGGGCAGCGTTTTCGGTCCAGCGGCTGCAGCCACCAGGGCGCCGCTAGGGGATGCAGTGGCTCAAAGGACCGAGCGGGCAGAGCAGGTTGGAGCCCGCGGGGTGGACCAATCGCGGCACGGCCGCAGCCTCGCCCGCTGATTGGCCCCTCCGGGCCCCGCCCCCGCTCGCCCCGCCCCGCTCGCTGGGGCGCCACCGAGCCTTGTGCCCTCCGCCCGGGGTGCCCGTAGCGCAGAGCTTGGCCTGGGGACCCCCGCGCCGGGGAAGGTCGCCGTGGAGTCCCGCCCGGAGGCCGGGGTTGGGGTCGGTGCAGACCGAGGGCTGGTTTCCTCGACTTGGGGGAGAAACTTCGGGAGCCGGAGTAAGTAGGGCTCCGGGCGGGGCGAAAGGAAAAGTTGGGTCCCTGGAGTGAAGACCGGGTTCTTTCTGTCTACCCCGAGCGTACTCGGAGGCGGGGGGCCGAGTTAGAGCCAGTCTCTTCCTCCCCGCCCCCTTCTCATCCCTCACCGTTGCCACTCGAGTCAGAAGCACACGTTGATCGCAAATATTAGGTCTGGAAAGGGCAGCTGTAACAGCTGAAGCGCTTTCACTCCGGGGGCTCGAGGGCGCAGAAGGCTCGGGAAAGAGGTGACAATGACAAGAGTGACGCGGACGCTCCCGTCGGAGCATGTCCCCTTTACCCGATGCCTCACCCTCTTAGGAAATCGGCTCAAAAGGCACATCTCAAAGTACCTTGACGAGAAACATTTTGTTTTTCTGCTCAGTTTCACGCGCAGGTCCCCCCACATGCATGCGTTCTCCCAAACACCCTGCCCTGGATCCTAATCACGATCCATGCTTGCCTATTTGTTGAAAGTCTGAAAAAGAAAAGTCTGCTCAGCCGAATGAACTTCATGAGTGGGGCAGGCTGCCTGCACCAGGACGTAGTTCGTCCACCCGGCCCGAATGAATCGGCAGGAGCCGCGGCCACATTTAAAGGGCCAGAGTGCACGTTCCCTCCCGTCCGCCCCCGAGCTCCCCCGGGCCTCGCCCACCCTGCCCGCCGCCCCTCAGCCCGCGGCCGCCCTCCGCGGCGCCCCTTTCCGGTCAGTGGAGGGGCGGGAGGAGGGGCGGGGGTTCGCGGGGCGGGGGGAGAAGTCCTGGAGCGGGTTTGGGTTGCAGTTTCCGTGTGCCGGGGATCCTGTCCCCTACTCGCCAGCGCCAGGCTCCTCCCCCCTCGGCGCGGATGACACTAGAACCTCCTTAAGTTGCGTCGCGCCACAGCTGTCTGCGAACACTGAGCTGCCTGGCGCCGTCTTGATACTTTCAGAAAGAATGCATTCCCTGTAAAAAAAAAAAAAAAAAATACTGAGAGAGGGAGAGAGAGAGGAGAAGAGAGAGAGACGGAGAGAGAGCGAGACAGAGCGAGCCACGCAATCTGACCGAGCAGGTCATACGCCGCCGCCTCCTCCTCCTCTCTGCTCTTCGCTACCCAGGTTGGTACTGCTGACTTTTTCTTTTTTTTTTTTTTTTTTTTTAATTAAGTTTGATTCCCCCCACCCCATCCACTTGGGAGGACTTAAGGCAATTTAGAAAACTCAACTCTCCTCTTTTGGAGGGTTTCTAGGGGCTGGGAGGACGGTCCCGGGACCGGCGTCCCCAAGGGAGGGACTTGTCCTCCAAGTTGCAACAGTCAGCCCCGCGACTTGTCCTCCAGGTTGCTCAGTCAGTCCCGGCTCCCGCGAGCCGCGCTGCGGGGACGTCCCCGAGAGTCCTGCAGGCTCCCCGGCTGTGTTCCCGCGAGCCTGTGCGGGTCCCGGGTGCGCGGGGCGGGCGGGCGGCGCGAGGCGAGGTGGTACCACTCCAGCGACTCCGGGGCTCACCCACGTCTCCTCTTCTCTCCCTTGCAGGTGACCCGAGGAGGCACTCCGCCTCGGAGCGGCTGAGGACCCCGGTGCAGAGGTGCCTGGCTCGCAGAATTCCAGAGTCGTCGCCCCCTTTTACCACCTGGTCCCCTTTTATCCTGCCGTACCCAGTTTTTGAATTTTTACCTTCCCCTTCTTCTCTTTGCTAAACGACCCCTCCAAGATTATTTTGTAAAAATCCTCTCCTTTGCTCGCCTTTCCTTCCCAGCCTTCCCATTGCCCCAGGGAAAGCAAATCATTCAACGACCCCCGACCCTCCGACGGCAGGAGCCCCCCCGACCTCCCAGGCCGACCGCCCTCCCTCTCCGCGCGCGGGTTCCGGGCCCGGCGAGAGGGCGCGAGCGCAGCCGAGGCCATGGAGGTGACGGCAGACCAGCCGCGCTGGGTGAGCCACCACCACCCCGCCGTGCTCAACGGGCAGCACCCGGACACGCACCACCCGGGCCTCGGCCACTCCTACATGGACCCGGCGCAGTACCCGCTGCCGGAGGAGGTGGATGTGCTTTTTAACATCGACGGCCAAGGCAACCACGTCCCTCCCTACTACGGAAACTCCGTCAGGGCCACGGTGCAGAGGTACCCTCCGACTCACCACGGTCAGTGCGCCCGCGGTGCGGGGACTCCCGCCGGCCGCGTCCGCCGTCCCGGCTCGGGGAGGTCGGGAGGGACCTGAGGGCGGGGAGAGGCCCAGCGAAAGCCCCAGTCAGCCGTTCCTGGTTCATTTACAAAAAACTGGGGCCCGGAAATGGGCGAGGAAGGCCTCTGGCTCGTCGCGAGAGTGTTTTGAAAGAGTCGCAGCAGGCGCCTCTCCCGGCTGGTGGCCCTGGGGCCTGGCGCTCACCTGGCGGGCGCCAGGCAGCAGCCCTCCGTCCCCGTGCGGCCGCACGTTTTGGGGGGTCCCAGGATGTCCGCAGGCGCGGGGTGCCCGGGCTCTGCCTCCGCGGGTCCGGGCTCTCTGGGCCCGGTAGCCGGCGCTGGCAAAGCCCGGCTGGAACCCGCCTCCTCCAAAAACAAATTGGCGATCCCTGTTACCCACTAGCTCTTTCTAGGGGGCCTCTCCCAGCGCCCCTCAATTCGCACAGTTTCAGAAAGGCCCCCAGAGACTTATTTATTCACACCCCTCTCCTTGACCTTTTTCCAAAACTGGTGCTTTTGGTTTTTAGACAGGTCTCCTACCTCTTGGCTTCAGGAATGGAATTCTGATGCTGAAGCAGTTTTGGGGGGAAGACCCTTGTCTTAAGTTTGAGGGCTCTGAGGTTTCCCGGATTCCCGGCTGCACAGAATTTTCCTGCGTCTTCGCTTTACAGCTGCCTCCTTGCCTGCAACTCTTGCTTTACCCTGTCTCTGGGGACTGCCCTTCACTAGGCTCCCACCTAAGGTGCAGGATACACCCCCGTTTAAATAGAGGCAATTCCAGTACCATCTCTTTCCCACGTTCACCTGGAGAAGTTTAGGAGGGTTCCGAAACGTAAAAAAGAAGACCAGGCCTGTGTCTTTCCATCTGTAAGTTTCTTCCTAAAGAAGAAACAGGGGCCAAACACAGAAAAAGTGTGAGGCTTTCTGAGTCCAGCCAGACCAACGTCTGCCCTGATCCCCTCCTCAGAGCCTGCCTTGGCACGGATGACACAGCCCCTCCGGCAGCAGGCGTCCTCCACCCTGCTGTCGCCAGGTTTTCAACGATCGTTTCTGCGGATGGGGCGCTCTTTGCCCACATTCTGTGCAGATCAGCAGTTAAGTGGAAATGCGGTAGAGCAGACTTAATATTATTTACTATACTACTTCCTGCATAATATGAATCTTGACCCTTGGTGTTCAGAGAACTCTCTTTCCCTCTCCACTCTCCTCCCCTTCCTCTCTCTTAAGATTTTAGTTTCAGTATTGTTCTTAATGGTTGAATGTGAAATGCTGAGGCAGGTACCGGATTTAAAGATCAATAACCGTGTGTGGATTTGCACTTGCTTTTTAAACGTACCCCTCAGAGTGTATGAGTTGCAGCTACCTTAAGATTGTGTGTTTTAAATGAAGGCTAAGCAGACTCTGTGTCCGAGTCATCTTTGATTTAAAATGGACACATCAACTGGAATTTCGTGTCTTAGGGGCTCAGGTGAAAATTCATATATCGCACTGGTGGGATCCATAGCTTTATGGAGGGCACATGGGGCTTATGTTATCTTCCTCTCCTACAGGATTTGGGAGGGTGAGAAAAGCAGCCATCCCAGGGTCCAGGCTTGGGAACTTTCTCCAAAAACCCGAGCAATGAACATTTCCCTGCAAATCCCATCTCAGGCCTTTTTGCAGGCAGCCTGGGTGATTCTGAGCAAGCACTGTGCTAGGTTTCTGGAAAGAAACTCTGAAAGTCTCCTGACTGCTGTGGCAAGGCCTCTCCTTCCTGCAACGGGCGCTGGGAGCTGGGCCTCTCTCCAGGGTTGGTTTTCTGCTGTGTGGCCGGGCTCCATCCTTCAGGCCTCATCACTCACAGCCGGCTCTCTTATCAGGCTGGCTGGGATTAAGTTCGAGTCGGGGAACTCAGGGCCATTGAAGGAAACCCATAAATCAAGTCAGGTTCTAGAGAGAGGCCTGGGGGGATGTGATTGAGACGGTGGATCTGGAGAGGCCGAATAAGCAAAGGGGCCCTTCTCCACTCCGCAGCCCCTCTCGGGTGTCAGCTGCAGGCCCTTCATTCTGCTGGATTTGATGGGACATCCGTGTGGGAACTAGGGGTGAGGATTCTGCCCCTAGCCTGAGCCCCAGGTGTTCCCAGCAGGTACTCCTGGGATCGCTGGGAAGGAGAGTGGGCCTGGGCTTTTGCTGAAAGGGAGGCCGGTGAGAGGGAGAGAGTACCCAGGGTCACACTCACTCTCCTCTCTCCTGCCCTTTTCCTGCTGCCCCACAGGGAGCCAGGTGTGCCGCCCGCCTCTGCTTCACGGATCCCTGCCCTGGCTGGACGGCGGGAAAGCCCTGGGCAGCCACCACACCGCCTCCCCCTGGAACCTCAGCCCCTTCTCCAAGACGTCCATTCACCACGGCTCCCCGGGGCCCCTCTCCGTCTACCCCCCAGCCTCATCCTCCTCCCTGTCGGGGGGCCACGCCAGCCCGCACCTCTTCACCTTCCCGCCCACCCCACCGAAGGACGTCTCCCCAGACCCGTCGCTGTCCACCCCGGGCTCAGCCGGCTCAGCCCGGCAGGATGAAAAAGAGTGCCTCAAGTACCAGGTGCCGCTGCCTGACAGCATGAAGCTGGAGTCCTCGCACTCCCGTGGCAGCATGACCGCCCTGGGGGGCGCCTCTTCGTCAGCCCACCACCCCATCACCACCTACCCGCCCTACGTGCCCGAGTACAGCTCCGGACTCTTCCCCCCCAGCAGCCTGCTGGGCGGCTCCCCCACCGGCTTCGGATGCAAGTCCAGGCCCAAGGCCCGGTCCAGCACAGGTAGGAGCCAGCTCTCCCCTGGAGCCCTTTCTCCTCCTACCTCCCCTTCTCCTCAATCCATTGCCGCACCCAGAGGGGCCCCTCAGGGGAGCCAGGGTGTCCCAAAGCCCACTGAGATGCCATTTCTTCCATTCTTCCAGTCGGGAAGGGCACTGCGAGTCCTCCCATTCTAGCTCCTCCTGGCCTCGGAAGCGGAGGGGAAGTGGGATCTGATTTAAAAGCCCCCAATGAGTTGGGAAAGGAAAAAGACAAACAAAAACAAAGTCATCCCCTCTCCTGCCTGTCGCAGGACTTCTGGATTGGGCTGGTAACCTTTAGTCAGTTTCCAAGACCAAATGGAAGGCCGAGGGAATAAATCTTGAGTGTTTCATGCTAAAACGAAACCTCCCCAAGCCTAAACAAACACAGGTCCCTCGATGACCCCTTTGGCCTCTGTCATTCTGACTGTTCCTCTCGCTCAACTCAAAGGGGACCATGCAGTGAGGACGGTCCTTTATTAGACTTGTAGAAACAAAGCATATGTTTAAGAGCCTGGCCAAAGCTGCCAGTATTTTCCCTGCGTGGAAAAGGGGACTCTCAGCTGAACTGGGAGAATAAGGTGGCTTTGCATTGGGGAAGCAGAGTTGAATGAAAATCAAATCACCTGGGTCAGTTAG